TTATATAAACTTTCTCCTTATCTAAAAATCTATTTTCATATCTAATTATACAATGGGATTGTATACAATGAGACTATTTATCTTTGATACAAGGCGGTCACAATTACTATAACTATTTGAAGTGAAATCTGATAGCTTGGGTTTATCCCAAAGTTTGAGAAAATTTATTTTGTACTTTGAGCTTGGTCAATGAAATAAATGCAGCTACTCAATTTCACATCTAATGGTCAAGATTAATTATGACCACCTTGTACCAAAAGTAAATGGTCTCATTATATACTTTCCCTTATAAAATTTTGAACTCCAAAAATAGTTAAAATCTAGTAGATCTATAAACATATGAAAATCTTGAAAATAGGCGGTCAAGATAATGTGTTGCAAGATGCACTAGTTCTAGATTTCAAAATATTTTATTTTATTTTTTTCATATTCATACATATCGATGTCGAAATGATCAACCTTTTCCGGTGATTTTTGAGGTGTATCTTTAATTTTACATTTTAAGGTTGCAACCTTATATAAATTTTTTCCATGTTTTAATAAAGGAAAGCTTTCTATGTAAACCCCATTTGCATATAAATTTTACATAACCACACTTCTCAATTGTTCAATTTGAAAAGACGGCTATGATTTGCTCATGTCACAATGTTATTTCAAATACTTTTTTTTTTTATATTGTCGATTCTATATATTGATATTCTCTTTAAAATAAAAAACATGTCAAATCTACATCATCCAACTAAAATAAAAAACGTAAAACATTACAACCTTTCGTCTACAAATAAAGGTTGCAACTTTATATAAGCCATACCCTTAAGCCATACCCATACCCTAAAGTTAACTATAGCGCCAGACGACGTTTCCATAAAATTTCAAGATAATTGTCTTGCAGATGAGAGGAGTGGAGATAGGAGAATTGGCTTCCCCGCTTCACATTGGACCAATATGAGATAAATGTCACCATTCCACACAATTTTTAAGTACGAGTGTAGTATGTTAAAAAATGAAGTAGAGATAGAAGAGGAACGCATGACCTGAATCTCAGAGTGGAGGCAGCCATGGAGGGCCATCACTTCATAGGCACAGTGGCGGAGAACGGCGCCAACTTTCACATATTCCGACCACGGATAGAAAAAGTGCCTGAAATTTCCATGTGGTGGCTCCCATTTGGCCGAATTTGCCTTCAAAAAACAACAACAATTCTTCCGATTCAGATTCTCCTCCTACATAAAACAAGTCTCTTTCTCTCTCCAGAAATCACCAATTTACCAGAGAGTCGAGCTTTGCGGATGAGTTGAGTGTCAATCGACACCGCTTGAAAGCAGGCTCATCAGGAAACTCATCCATCACCTTCTTCGAAAACTCCGAATTCTCCTGTCCATCCTCATCCAAATACCTCCCCACACATTCTGCAGAAAGAGAGAGAGAGAGTGAATTGATCCCAAAACCATCATAATCACATTAGTTTAGGATTAATTCAGCAAGATCATGAAGCGATTATCACAATTGCAACGCCAGACCTTGTAGCGAATCGGCGACTGTTTCGAAGCTCTTGACAAGCTCTTTGTGAAGCTGTTCACCAGCCCATATGGGGAAAATGCTAACATTTACCACCAAAGTGACGGCTCCCCCGATCGCTATAGCATACAATCGATTCAAAGCGGTTCCGATGGGGTGCCCCATTCGATATCCAGAGATTATGATGAGGCAGTAGGTGAAGAGAATGACTCTGAAACCGTGCTCATAAGGGGTAAGAGAAGGCCATTGCTTGATGAAAGAGGTGAGGGCACCGATGATGAAGATTGTGAAGCCTATTATGACTGGTTCAGCAATGTGCCCTGTACGTATCGCAACCTGACCCACGGCGATGGCGAGGATTCCGGCGAGTAGGCTGCCCAGCGCTCGGTTGAACCCTCTGTTGAATGTAGCACCTGAGCCAAAGGTTCATGCACGTCTCAATACTCCCTCTCTCTGTGCATGTGAACATGTGTGTATGTGCATGTCAAGACATACATCCAACTAAACAGGTAAGTAAAAGCATTTCACGCGTCCGGGAAAACAGCTTCACATGAGGCACCATCTTGAACATGGATGTCAAAAAAAGCAGTGCCACAAACAGATTAAAAAATTATAATTTTTTAATTTCAGAATTATTTTATCTATATTTATATGAGAAAAGTTTATATAGAGCCGAGGCTCTATACAATCAAATTTGAGCCTATCTCAAAAGTTTCATTCAAATTGATCATCTCGACATCAAGACACATGGACATAAGAAAAAATGGATCTCAACTTTTGAAAATAGTATACTTTGTAACGAATTTTTGGACCGTCAATTTTCAAGATTTTCAAATTTTCAAAGATCTATCGATCTACACTATTTTTTAAGGCTATCATAAATATTTTCAATATTGAAACTACATTTCTCGGAACTATTTATATTCACCGTGGCTGAGATTCTTGTGTCCTAATTATTTATATTCACCGTGGCTGAGATTCTTGTGTCCTAATTGGTCTCGCCAATGTAGGAAGACCATGTATCCCAGTTGGGTGGTTGATTAGGGAATCTTAAACAAAATTCAGAATAATTAATAACAAATCCAAAATAATCAGAAATTTACATGTAATATATATATATATTTATATTTTCTATAATTTTGGTAAAGTTTGGATAGCGTTTTGGTCACGAATGCTTATTTTTACATTTTATTTTTTATTTATTTCCAAAATACCTCCATCACAAATTGATTTTTTCAAGATTCATTTTTAATTAATTTTTTAATCTCATTTAAATGTATTTTTTTTAATTTTAATCTAACATATTTTTCCAATTTGTGGGGATTCTTTATATTTTTTTATATTTTTAATATTTTTTGGCTTGGGTGTACTCGGCCAGTCTTGGGCCAAGTAACTCAGGTCAAGTCTGAGTTACTTGGCTCAGCCATTGTCCAAACCCCACGGCCAAGTAGCTCAGGTTAAGTCCGAGTTACTTTGGCTCAACCACTGTACGAGCCAATGTCAAGTACAAAAATTACTCTAGTTGCCTCTTTTTTAATCGTAAGGGTATTTTTGTTATAAGAATGGGTAATGATAATGTTTGCACTAAATTACAAAAGGTATATTTGTCATCTCGATAATGATATATTTGAAATATTCACTAAAATATAAAAGCATTCATATGATAAAGTAGTAGAAACTTCACTTCATAATTATCCTCATTCTTTTAGTGAAAATATCATTACATATCTAGATAATATGTTGCAAGATGAACTATTTATGTGACTCAAAAACTTTTTTTTTCATATTCATACATCTCAATGTCTAGATGATCAATTAGAGGGTTTTTCAATTTTAAAACAGTATTTCCGATAGATTTTTGAGGTGTATCAATTGCAACCTTATATAAACTTTTCCATATATATCATGATTTCATAGGTGAAGTTCTGCACTATTTCCCTCATAGGTCATCATTGTACAAAGTCCATCAAATAATAATGATTATTTGATAGTATTTAAGTTTTAATAATTTTTTACAAACTAATTAATCTCAATTTTTGTGGTGTCTTACTCATTGAGTAAACGTGTATGTGCAAATATTATAAAAAGACAAGAGGCACTTTTGTCATCTTCATAAAAAATGAAGTTGAAAATTTTACTAAAGGACAAGTTTGTCTTAAGTTAACAGGCCTTTAAAATAAAAAGTTTACTTGTTAGAGTAGACTGTGAATTTATTAAAAATTCAATTATTTTTTGTTTAAAAAATTAATTGTTATAAGTAACATAATCATTAACTAAAGGTATTATTTGTTTTTATGAAAGTACAACAGTATTAAAAGTGAGTATTAATGATCAAAATAATTTTTAATATTTATCATAATGCAAAGAATATTAAAAAAATACATTACAAATTAAATTCCTTATTTTTGGAAATTTATATATTTTTTTATTTTTTTAAAATATTGGTTGATCACTAAAACCGCCCAAAACCAAAACCGGCCACTGACCAGGCGATTAGCAGTTAGATCACCCGATTTTTCCAACAGTGAGCTATATATTACAAAAACATAGAAAGATATATAAAAAAGAGGCAGGTCCTAAGTTCCTCAAACCTAAATCTCCTAATTAAATCCCGAGATGATTTAGGCGCTTAGTGATTTTTTCAACATTAATCTTCAGACATAAAGAATGGAGTATATATATATATATATATGAAAAAGTTTATATAAGGTTGCAACCTTCCTTAAAATGTAGAGCTAAAGATGCACCTCAATTTTCTGAGCTTAAAAATTGAGGTGTTTATAAGTCTATTTAATTTACACTATTTTCTAAGCTTTAAATTTTATAACTAGAAGTGCAGCTTTTATCACTAGAACTACACCTTTTAGCAAGATTTAAAAATATAGATTTAAAAATATACTTTATTTTGATTGTTTAAGATTCACATCTTATACAAACCCCACATCATCTAATGATCATTTGCTAGTGGACTGAGTCCTTTAACAACTTATCTATTTCATTAGTTAATTTTAAATAAACCATCAAAGGAGACTAATCATGATATTTTAAGTCTGTTCTTGATAAACAGGTAAAAATAAAACAGTTGAATGGCATATTTTCATAATTTTTCCTTTTTATTTTTTAGTGTTTTATACAAATTTCTATCGTATACAAACTTTTCCCTGTTCAAAGCAACCCCTATATTGTGGTTGTGGCCATTCCAGCACAAGTCTTACTTTAAAAGTGCTATTAACTACTCTTTTTAGCTATGATTCTAGAGAAAAACAAATGCGTTTTTCTTAGGGTGCGGTTTGTATAGAGCCTAGGCTCTAAGTAATCAAGTTAGAGCCTATTTTAAAATAGTGTCAAGAAATTGGTTTCAATACTGGAAATCTTTGTAATAGCCTTAAAATATATTTTTATATTTATTTATAAAGTTTATAGTTTCAACATAGTGTAGATCGACAGATCTATCAAAACTTGAAAACTGACGGTCTAAAGATGCGTTAAAACATATACTATTTCCAAAACTTGAAATCCATTTTTTCTCTTGTCCATGCATCTTGATGTCGCGATGATCAATTTGAATATATTTGGGCATCAAAACAACCTCTTGTAGTGGAATTTTTGAGGTAGGCTCTAATTTGATAGTTTAGAGCCTCGGCTCTATATAAACTTCTCCCTTTTTTTATGCAGTTTCTATTAGGCTTAGGCTTTATAAAAATAAAGTAAAGCCTCACGTCAAATCCCATCTAGAAAGTACTTTGGTTACTGGAGATCTTCATGATGGCTCTAAAATCAATTTTCAACACTGTATATAAATATTGAAGTTCAAAAACATACTACAGATCTCATGAATCAGTGAACACTTATTTTTAAAGTGAAATAGATTGTCTAGATAATTTTTACAATATAAACTATTTTTCGGGCTTGAAATCTGAATTTTTTTTTTCAAAGGCATAATAGTTAAAGCCGAGATGGTCGATTTGAAGGTCTGATGATAGAATTATAATTTTCAGTGAGTTTTGAGGTAATGCTCTATATTTTTTTGACATGGCTGCAGGCCTCTCAAACCATTTTTTTTTTTTAAAAAAGAAATCTTTTCTAAATATTCCACATGTCTTTGGTGTGTGTCTATGTGCAGTGGATGTGCATGTCTAAATTACTGAGTACCCCACAACTTTATAAACACAAGAAATATATTCTTATTAGATGAGTTTGTTAGGAAATGAGGGCATACCAACAGTGTATTCGAACATGATGGCAACCGTAAGTATGGCCCACACTATGTTGGTCCCAAACACCTCATAAGATGCCCGGAAAAGTATGAGCAACGACACAAGTAGAACCGCAAGCCCCACTTTGAAAGAGAATGTCACCCTGCCCGGATCATCTTTGCAAAATTCCCACACCCTCTTTGCTAAATTCCGGCCACCGCTGCCGGAACTCTTGCCGCACTCAGGAGGTCTGATATTTGCGGCAAACACATCTATCTCTATGCGCCCTTTCTTCCCATTCATTCTCCTAGGCAAACAAGGAAAGAGTGAAAAACTTCGCAAGTTATCGGGGAGTTTTTTGTTCAATCGGGTTCTTTAACTAAGTCGAAGTTGCACTCTAAGTAATCCAGGGCCTCTCTAGTAGCCAAATCAGTTAGCACAACACAGTTCTTTCGTGCTTTTGTTTTCCACTCCCTTCAAGAGCATGGTGTCTGGCTACAAAGACTGCATTAACAAAGGGAAGTGATTTAAAGACACAAAGTAGAGATGGGTGGTGGTGCAAGTAGTAGTGAGAAGGAAGAATTTGTAGGAGGGATGTTGTAATATAATGTAAGAGAATAATACTTTGAAAATAATTGAAGCGAGGAGGATAGAGAAAAGAAGGTTTAGAGAGGAGGAAGATGCTTGTGTCCAATAATGGGGAATTAGAATCATAATGATGCGAGCAGTTTTCAGACGCCTCATGAGTGTCTCCCCAAAATTCCTTGTACCAACTAAATTCGATCAGGGCCTCATAATCTTAACCTCGTTTCATTCGCCGTGTACACGTCCAAGGTGAACAATTCTTTCTATCATAATAATTTACTTCTCTTTCGGTTCCCGGGCATGTATCCTAAGCTCCTTCAGGGGCATTGTTTATTTCTCCTCCCTCAGTCAAAAGACTTGTTTGGGAGGATTTTTTTTCAATCTAAAATTTTGGAAACCCCTTAAGAATTATTAGATGATTATTCTCAAAAAACTAAATTTTGAAATTTGAGTTTTCTTACACTTTGATATCACCTCCTAAAAATTGGATGGTTTTTATTTAATTTCGAGACTGTTTTTTGTTCAAGTGCATAGAGGGTACCATTGGAGATTTTTTTTATTGAGGTTATCTATGAGTTGAAAAGATTACATCCCTAATGTTTAATTCGATTTTTTCCGAGGACTAAGTGGACATTATACTCCTGCAAGAGTATAGTATCTTTTGTGTTCCCAATATCTTCAATCTTTGATTTTTTCATTTTGAAATCTTGTTATCTTCCGAATCAAAGAATAAATTTATTCCGCATATCGGTTATGATTGGGGGATAGGAGAGTTAAGGCTTCCTGATTTCCCACAAGAAACAAAGAGGGCTCCTATTCTACGTTGCTTGTGGTCATGGAATCCGGTACCTCTTGTGTTATGGCAAAAATTTCTTTTAATTTGGGGATATTTGTGACCACAATTTTGCATGGAATTTTGTTTGTGCCCTTTTTGTTCTATTAGTTAATCAATAGCACGCATTTTTTTCCAGGATTGTATACTATGAGACTATTTATCATTTTCACGAGGTACAATAACTCCAAGACATTAGATATCAAATTCAATGGCTTGGGGTTTGTCTTGATGTTCGAGAAATTTTGGTTTTCAAACTTTGAATCTAGTCAATATCATGCCTACAACCACTTGATTTAAAATCTAATAGAAAATAGTGCTCTTCGTCCTAAAAGTAAATGGTCTCTCTGAATACTTTTCCTTTATGTTCATATACATTTAGCATTTCAACAAAACGTTGCATTTAACAAGTAGGATGAAAAGTGAAGCATTCAGTTTTTATCACATGAATCCATATGCGCACACGCGATACAGCAGCTTTTCACCTTTTGTCGAGTGTACCTACACTTAAATAGGGATATAAAGTGATTTAAAACAGCTACTAGAACACATTGAGTTCATCACCTAAACAGTGCCTAAAGTCCAAAACAAATTTTGAGTCCTCATCTAGACAAGACTAACTGAATGCACCATTTTTCAACGATCAAGACTGATCATGACTTCAAGGCAGCACAGTTTCTTGAGAAAAGAAGGCTATGTGGGTAACCTTCTCCTTGGAAATAAAGAAAAAACATACATATGTTTACCCTTTCCTTCATTGTGATAATTCATTGTCTTAGGTTAGGAGTAAAAAAAATTTGATAATTAGTTTCAGCAAAAAAAAAAACTCCCCTAAAAAAGGAAAAACTCTAGGTTCGACCGTCGTGTTTTATAAATGAAAAGCATGGGATGTATTTAAGATTTTCGATATAATGTTATATGATAATTTGATTAACAAGTGGTAGCTTTGTAATACAACCTGGGTGAATATCTTGGTTCAATTTCCGTTTGGCTAAATCGCCTCATAGATTTTGTTATTTGGAATGAATTACACTACTTTCTTTAACAAGAAATTAAAAAAATTTTAAAAAAAGGGACAGATTATTTTTGTATGCATTTATATAAGCAAGATGTAGAATATTGTGGTCACCTCTTTTGTGGTTTCCATGGATGTATAAGATTCGGATGTGGGCTTGCCACAAACAAGGTGTTCAGCTAGTGTTTCCTAGACATGCAGTGGATATCGTTGATTGGCTCAACATTACTCTTTTGCATGTTGATTAGAAAGGCTTTTAGAGCTGCAAGTTTATGGGAGATTTGGAGGGAGAGAAATGGGAGGATCTTTGATAGAGTAGTTATGAATGCTGAAAGTATCCAAGTTAAGATTATGGTTTCGATGATTGATTGTCCCAGTATTAGGAGGCGGGGGGTGCCCTTCTCAGGTCTGATTTTATCTGTAATTTTCAAGAACCGGTACAATTAGTGCCCGAAGAATGCATGTTGTTGCATGGGTTCCTCCACCAATGGATGTTATCAAGCTAAATTTTGATAGAAGTTCTTTGTGCAACCCTAGACAATCAGGTGTAAGTGGTGTCATCAAGAAAGATGAAGGCACTTTGTTGGCCTCTTTTTGCGGCCCTTGAGGGTCATGCATTGCCAATGTCGTTGAGATTTATGCCATTTTATGGGGATTACTGATTGTTGAAGAGAAGCACGCGGGCTCTAAGAATTTTGTGGAATGTGATTCTCTAAATGTTCTCAAATGGTGCAAGTGTGAATAGCATATCCCTTTCAATTTGATATATCATTGTTGTTTACAGCCAAAATCTGAGAGAATTTTAGATGGAAACTCCCTATGATTCGTGCTTTCAACTTCAATAATTAAATTTCAGTAGTGATAGGTGGGATCCATTGAATTACGGTTCAAGATAGTTTTTTAGATCAAAGATCAATGCTTTCTGAGAACATCTGGCAGCACTGGCTTGAAATCGTGCAAATCCAAAGAATGAAACCAAGAAACGAAACAAAAGAAAAATTAAAGAACTAAAAATTAAACTAAAGTAAGAGCCAAAGAAACTTACCTAGAAGACCTAGAGTTGAGGTCCATATCAGGATTGCAGGTCAATTTACACATTTGGTGCTTTTTCTTTCTTGAAGAATTGGCTTGAATTAAGTTTTTGTACTTTTTTTATTCAAGATTGGTAGAGAATTTTGGTGGAATTTTATAGAGTTTTACCTTAGGGTTTCTTGAGGTTTCCTATAGTTTAAGGGAATTTTTTTGGTATTTTCTAGTCTTTTTCTATGGTTTTAGGTTATAGGGAGTTTCCAATGTGCTAGGTTGTAGAGATTTTCCTAATGTTTTCTTTGAAAATTAGGTTATTTTCCTTAAGGTTTCATATGCAGCTTAGGTTGTGATTTATGGAGAAGGGGGTTTGAATAGGTTTTAAAGTAAGGTATTTCTAGTGAGTATTCTCTTTAGGAAAAGGAATCCTAGGTTTATCTCTAGGTCTGGGATTAGGTCTGATGGCTTATGATATGGTCAAATCTAGAGTCAAAACCTGTAGAAGGTTTAAAAAACTTCAGTCTAAAGAAAATCCCTATTTTTCTTGAAATTCTCAGTTTCTTTGTAGTTATAAACTGACAGCGCGCGCTCTGTGTCACTAGGCCCTCTAAGCCAAGCACATCGCTGGCCCAATTTTCTTCTAGGTTTTGCCCAATCTGTAAAATGTACTCTGATTTTTCCAGTTCAATTTTTTTACTTAGTTTTGGGGTCTGATTTGAGGTCTTCTAAGGATTGTGGACTACAGGTTTAGGGTGAGCTAAGGCTTAATGGGCTATTACATTCCTATGGTTCAAGTTTGCAGGTTTTAGGAATTCTCTTAGCCACAATTTCATGGGGAGTCTATAGCTTCCCCTCTTTAGCACTCACCTGGGATAACGAGTGAACAAAAAAGAAGCAAACACCTAAGAAAAGATTAAAGGAATGAAGGGTCATTCACTTGAATGTGTAACACCCTAGGGGAACATAAGATGCCAATGGAAAAGATCCATAAGACATCAATATGAACATTGCTCATATTTCATTGAGAGCTCTCCAACAATTTGGGATGTTCCGGATGACTTCAACAGGAACCTGCTGAGAACTGGGATGATTATATTTTGGGTACTTATCTTAGGCTTAAAACCTTTTCTTTTGGTATTAGTTTCTAATTGAATGGGAAATGTATCTAGAATAGGTTCGACATGACGCCGATGATGAAAATCTTGCCCAATCTTTGGTAGGATGTCTTTTGATTCTACCGCAAAGCCACATGTTATATATTAATCTCGAAAAATCTACGTATTTCAATTCTTCCAAAGAGAAAAAGTTATTTGGAACATTTTTAGAAGAGCCTTGCTTTGGGAGGTATAGTTGGAGCGTATTAGAAGGACTTTTGAAACAAAATACTACTTATAAAACAAATTCAAGATAAGATTATGCATACAATGTAGTCATGGTTCTCAAGAGCAAAGGAGGGTGGCGTAGTGTCAAAAGTTGATATTGTCTTAAACATGAGAGAGCTTATGTCGTAATCTAACTCTTTTTCTACACTTAAAAGGAAGATGGTTACCACTACTTCAAGGTTGTTGGAAGCTCGACTTTGATGGAAGCTCGATGGAGAACCCTGGCCCAGCAGGTTTTTGGGGAGTGTTAAAAGACTATAAAAGCAATGTTTTGTGGTGTTATTATGGGCCTTGTGGGGTACAGTCAGCAATTAGCGTGAAACTTGAAGCTTTATTTTATGGCAATACAATTAGTGAAAGAGAGATGTGCAGCCCAATATTGTTTTGTTGAGGGTGACACCCTTAATGTTATTAATTGGTGTAAGAAGATTTGGAAACCACCATGGCATTTAAGGTCCATGTGGCTCCATGTATTGGATGAAGCTTATGGTATAGAATTAGATTTTCGCCATGTCTATAAGGAGGCGAATGTCATGTCGAGTTTGTAATTGAAAATTCGCTGCCCATATGATTGTATTTCGATTTTTGTCTTTTTAATGAAAGCTTATAATCTTGTCAAAAAATAAAAAAAGCTGGGCAGAACTTGGGGTACCTCATCCATATAAGCTCAAGGCCATTGCTGGCAACTTGGATTGTTGTTGTCACAGGAAGGCAAATGGAGATGCCTATTCCTTGGCTAGGTTAGGTCTTTAAACCACAATCCCCATCTTTGGGTGTTGCAGTCGTAGACATAACTGGATTTGTTAAATATATAGTTCAGATATGCTTGGCTACACCATAATGAGCTGGTGAGGCGGAATGACCTTAGTGAAGTTTTCCTCATCATAGTTAATACTGGTCTATTGGACACATAGCTCATGGACTAACTTCCCTTAGTCAAGGGCAAAAATAGGACTGGTAATATTAATAGCTAGTATGGGTGTGGTTTGTATAAGGCTGAGGCCGTAAACAATCAAAGTAAGGTACACCTTCATATAGCGTCGAAAGATGCTAAGTCAAAGTAAGATGCATTTCTAGATCTTGCTAAACAATACAGTTCCAGTACCAAAAATTATTATAATAGCCTAATTTTTAACCCTAATAATGAAATTTAAAACTCCAAAAACAATGTAGAT